CAGTACCAAAAAAATTTTTTTCAGCCGAGGTTGGTGGCACATACCTGTAATCCCAGCACTCGGGAGGCTGAGGCAGGAGCATTGCTCTGAGTTCAAGGCTAGCAAGACTGTGTCTCAACTCCCCCTAGAAGTTTGAAATATATACTGAAAAGATGATTGCCTATGGCCAATGTTTTTTTTTCCTTTGGTCTTTTTGAGACAGGGTCTCTTTGAAGTTCAGACTGGCCTTGAGCTCACTTTGTAGCCCAGGCTGGTCTAGAACTCGCAGCTATCCTCCTGCGTGCTGGGATTACAGGCGTGCACCACCATGCTCAGCTCCAATAAGTATTTTTTTTTTGTTTTTTTGTTTTTTTGTTTTTCTCCGGTAGCAGGAACCGAACTCACGACTTTGCACTTGCCAGGCAGGTGCTTTGCCGCTGAGCTAAATCCCCAGACCCCTCCAATAAGTATTTTTAATGGTGTTTTAGAGTGTTTCTTAATATGCAGTATGTTTCTTTTTTTTTTTTCTTTCTGGTACCGGGAATCGAACTTATGACCTCTCGCTTGCCAGGCAGGTGCTGTGCTGCTGAGCTAAATCCCCAGCCCCCTATGCAGTATGTTTCTATAATACTAAAAATGAAAATAAAAAGATTTATCTACAAAAAGTATACAGGTTTCTGTTCTTAAAGACTGTGTCACTTAAAGCAGCCCTTTTAATACAGACCATTTATGTGTGTGTGTCTCTGCATGCATGCACATGCATGTTTGCGATAGCAGTATCAAACTCAGGGACACTACCATAGAGCTATCTCCTTGTCTTGTTTTTTATTTTGAGGTCCCTCTTAAGTTCCCAGGTTGGCTTCAAATTTGTGATTCTTCTGCCTTGCCTTTCAAGTATCAGGGAGTGTAATGGTTGATACATTGTGTCAACTTTAGAAGCATAGAAGCTTAAGTAACTCAGCAGTTCTCCCTCTTGGGGTGTACAGGACATGTCCTTGGGTGGCTGTTTAAGCTCTAGGATATTGTAATGATCGATTCATTGTGTCAACATGAGAAGTTTAAGTGATTTAGCAGGGGCCAGACTCCTCACTTTCTAAACATCATGTGCAAGAGGAAGGCCAGGAAGATGATGTGAGTGCTAGACCTACCCTGGGGCGGGGGTAGCCTACATATAAGATAGGAAAAGAGCTTTGCTCTACCCCTCCTTTTTCGCTCTTGTTGCTTTTGCTGTCTTTTGCTACCTTCAACTGTTGCCCTGAGCCATGTCACCCTGCCTTGGAATCAGCCGATTGAGGAGTGAAACCTCCACAAACTGAGCTAAGTAAACTTTTCCTCCTTTAACTTTGGGTGTTGGGTATTTTGTCGCAGCAACAAGAAAAAAATAACCAAACAGGGTGTATAGGCATGCACCACCCTGCCCAGCCATTCTTTTTAAGTTCTAGGAGTGGGACATGTTTTTTCTTCTGTTCATCCACTTTTAGTTCCTGTGTTCAGACTTGATATCATCTTGTTCTAACATTATTCTTGTAATAGTGGATAGAATGGAATAATAGGAAAGAAGGTGAAGTTTTAAATGAATTGGTGAATGACATTTTTGACCCTGTGATACATGTAATTCACATTGTAAATTGCTTCTTTTTTTTCATGTGCTGCTGAAATAAAAGACATAAATACATGTATATAGTGAAGATTTTTGAGCTTATAATTGTACATTTAAGAGAATTTGCAGCACTACATGTTTAACATCCAAAACCTGAAACTTTAGCACTGACGTGATGTTCCAAGTAGAGAACTCCATTCTTGATTGTTACGGTTTGTGTCTGGCTGTCCCCCCAAAGATACTTGCAGTCATGGGGTGGGCTTTTAGAGTTTATGATTGATTCATGGTCTGATGTTGGAATTATGGATGTGAGTGCTACATCTCCCCTGTGGCAGGTAGTTTGCATACAATTAAGGGAGGAAAAGAGGCTGCTTGCCACTGCCCCTCCCTTTTGCTCTTGTTGCTTTTGCTGTTTTCTGCCACCATAAACTGTTGCCCTCTGCCATGTGCCACTCTGCCTTGGAGCCAGCCAAGTATGGACTGAAACCTACATAGACTGTGAGCTAAATAAACCTTCCCTTCCTTAATTTTGGGTGTTGAGTATCTTGTCCCAACAACAAGAGAAAAGTAACAAAGACACTGATTTTATGTCAGAGGTTGCAGTCTGCATGCAAATATACAATGCTTAGTTTCTTCAGTATCTTCTTCAATGAGGAACAAATTCTTTGAGCTTCAGTAAATTTGTGATTAATGCACAGAATTTATAATACCGTATAAAATTACTTTCAGGCTTTGTTTAGAACATATATTTGGAACATAAATGAACTTTATGTTTAGATCCCAGGATATATCATTGTGTTTATACAAATCCCACCAAAATCTGAAAGAAAAAAAAGTCCGAAGCACTTCTGATCCGAACTATTTGGATGAGAGATATCCATTCAGTGTATACTTCGGACATATCAAAAGGTGGTTTTTTTGAAACTTTTTAAAATTTTTTATGGGCATTCTCAATCTCAGTCATACACCCAGTACTGTGGTTAGATCCATCATTGTTTAAAACCCCAGTGAACTGCTAATAATTTTTTATATATATATACCATCTTGTATGTATTTCTGAAGTTTGCTCTTTTTTGCCTCTCTGGGATCTTACTCCCCCAGGTATAAGACTTTCCTTTGATATTTCTCTCATTTTGAATCCACTTTAGGGAAGGATTGAGGAAGTCTATTTTGGACTGTCTTTATTTCTCTTTCATTTTGGAGGGATATTTTTTCTCTATGTTAAATTCTGAGATAAAGTTTTTCTTTCAGCACCAAAATAACATTCTATTGTCTTGTGTGTGGGTTTTTTTTTTTTTTTTTTTTTTTTAAGGCAGTGTGTTACTATGTAATCCAGGCTGGCCTTAAACTTGCTTGTGTCGCCCAGAGTGGCCTCAAACTCAGAGCGATCCCTCCTGCTTCAGCCTCCTGAGTGCTGGGATTACAGGTGTCACCATACCTGGCTTTTATTGTCTTATCTACTCGGTAGTTTCAGTTGAGAAGTCAGCTGGTATTGTCATTTCAGTGAGAACTGTTTTCTGACTACCTTTGATGTATGCAGGTGTAGGTTTTTTTGTTTTTTTGTTTTTTGCAGCACTGGGAATTGAACTCATGACCTTGCTCTTGCCAAGCAGGCACTTATGCCACTGAGCTATATCCCCAGCCCCTAGGTGTAGTTTTTATTTAAGGGTATACGCAGTTCCCTGAGTTAAATGAATCTGAGTTTTTAAAAATCAGATTTGACAAATAATTGTCAATTTGTGCGTTGCCTCTATCCCATTTTCTCTCATAGTAAAATTTTTTAACTGTGTTTCATGTTAAAAAAGTCTATTTTTTTCTTTGTGTGCTTTTGAATGTTTTCTTTTGACCTGTCTTTTGAGTTTACAGCTCTTAATTCTGCTGAACTTAGTGTATTGTTATTCATTCAGTAAGCTGCTAGTATTAGGTATTGTTAGCAGTTCCGGGGTAATGAGTAATGTATTTGATTATTTTTTAAAAAGTTATTAATTCTCCTCTCAAATACTTCCAATGTTTTCATTCTCTCATGTCTTTTATTTTACCATGGTATTCATTGTTTTAAAAGTCTGTACTTACTCCGTTATCTCTGTGTCTTTTCCATGAACAGTTTAACCTCTTGACTATTAGTCACTTAAAAAATTCTCTGCCTATCTACTGTTTGCTAGATACTATAGTAGTAAATATTTAAAGGGGCTGAAGATTACTCTTTAAAGAATGCAGTATTTAGTGTTGGAGACAGTGGATTTATAGGTAGACCTTGATAACTGTAAAGTCTTACTTTCAGATTTGTTAGGTGTGTTTTGGTTTTGCCTTGCAAATCAAGCTTAAACTTTATTCCTAATAGCATGATCTGCATCCTAGACAATGGCTTTTCTGTGGTTTCATCCAAAAGTTGAGGGTTTTTACTCACCCTCTTTGGCTCTGAACTTGCTTTCTCTTACTGCAGAGCTTGAATTTTGACTCAGCTGTTTTCTGTTAAACACCCCACCCCCATTACACTTCTGAACATGCCAGTTTGAGTTAGCGCAGTGGTGGTGAACCTTTGGCACACAAGCTGCAGTGGGCTATTAGTTATCTTTGAAAGCTCTAAAAGGTTCATCATCACTGGCCTACTGAGTTGCAGATTACTTCTCTGCAACTCATTTTTGTTCTAGTGCCCTGCCCTCCAGGCCCCACTTCCCACTCTGTTCAGTTTTCCATATCCATTGTGACTCCCAGCGTCTGAGTGGACAGCATCATTAATGTGAAACTAGTGGGGTAGGAAATGGCATGTAGTATTGATCTGTTTGAAGACCTAAATTGACTGATGAGAAAATGTTGGTAAAAATAATTGATTTTTTTTTTCAGACATTAGGTACTGTATGTAAATCTTAGGTCTGTCATTGTTCTGTACATTTAAATTTATTAAGCCTATAGTAACCTGTGAGGTTAAGCACTGCAGTCATTGACAATACTTTGAGCAAAATTAAGACATAGCCCTTGCTCTGAGTGATTTTATAGATGAGCAGAATCAAGTCGCTGTGTATGTCGTGTGTTGTGAAAAACTGTCTTTAAAATGAATAATTATTGTGAAATAGGAAGAAAATGTTCAAATAGGGAAGGGGAAAGAGAAAAACAATAAAAGGAGGAAAAAAGAGAAAGGAGAGGGTTGGAGGGAAAGAGGAAGAAAGAATTAAGATATATCATGTACAGGTATGATGAATGTTACTATTATGAAAATCTAAAATGTATCAATAAAATTAATTTTTTAAAAATGAGTACTTAGCACCTGCCTGGTCTGAGATCTTTTTGCGCATACATCTGGTTTATATATGTTGTTATGTTAACATTTCTGTTATTGGCAGCATTGGCTCAAGTATATTAGAAAATTGCTGCCATTGATAATGTTCAGAAATTTAAAATAGTTCATGTTACTTTCCACTAGGAAACCACCCCTACTCCTAATCCCCCACCTGCAGAAGAGGAGAAAACAGAATCTAATCAGGAGGTTGCTAACCCAGAACACTATATTAAACATCCTCTTCAGAACAGGTAAGTTTTCTGACACTTAAGAGTTTTTGATTTAGGTAACAAGATGAATGGAGAACGGAGCAAGTTTGAAAAGGAAAATTAGATAAGACTAGTTTCAGATGTGCTCAGGTTTTCACTTCATGACCTTTGATCAACAAACAATTTTATGTGTTAATCTTGAGCCTATAAAGAGCTAGGTGAGATTGGTTTGAAAATTTATCAATACACTGATTATATTTAAAGCTGTGGTAGTAAATTAGTTCTCTTAAGAAGAAGTAAATGATGCAGGACAAATACCTGAAATTTCAGTACATAATGGCTTTTTTGTTGAGGGAAAATATGGAGCTAGGACATAGATATAAAGACTAGGGCAAAGTAGAACATCATGGAAACAAAATAAACTTTTTTTTTCTAAAAATAGGGTAGTCAATAGTATATGTGCCAAAAAGGCTAAATGAAGCAAAGTCTTAAAATATCCAGCAGGTTGGACAATTTTTTAAAAATGCTTCTTAAAGGAAAGCTTTTTAGTAGAGTACAGGTGATGGACTAGATAGTGGAGTAGTTGAAGAGTGAATAGGTTATAAACAGATGTATCGAGAAAGAACAGGTAACTTGAAGTTGGACTGAGAAAGGAAAGGTTGGTGCTGTGGAAGCTGGAAGTTGTTGAGTGGAATTTAAGAGACAAATTAGAAGATAAGAAGAGATAAAAGGTGAATGTGCACATGCCTGTAGTCACAGAACTTGGGAGGCTGTGAGGTAGGAAAACCATTGTGTTTTTGAGGTCAGCCTAGACTGCAAAGGGAGACCTCGTCTCAAAAAAAAAAAAAGATATTAAGGTAAATTTCCATAGAGTAGTATGAAACAGTATAGAGTAATATTTCACTGTATGGCTCTTCCCAACATAACCCAGTCCTTCTCAGTATATTTGTATATTTACTTATTATTTTTCTGGATTATATAATGGAAATTAACTTTATTCCATTGATAGCTGATGTGGAAAGAAGACAGCTGAGAAACATGGTAAAAACCTTCTGGGTTAATTGTATTATTTTTCAGGGTAGATCTTTTACTTCCCTTGCTTGAAAGAGCCCACAAGTCTGTTACAGTTGCATTTATTTTTAAAAATAAAATTTCCTTCTTTGATCTAAATATTATCATTCTTTATCATGAGAGACCTTTTGAGATATGTGATAACCCAAATATACTTTATGAAGTTTTCTTATAGGAGGTTCTGTAGTTTAAATACCCTTCAATGAGGAACACATCACTATAGGGGATGGGGCTTGTCATCTACTAGAAGGTCAAAGATCAAATAGTCCCTAAAAAGTAAAGTGCTTTCTTAGGTGAACGTCAAATTTGCATAGGTCAGTGTAACAGCACCAATATCCCAATGTCTCTGAAGGTTTTTTTAGGGGGGGGTCTTTTGGTTGGTAGTTGTTTTTTTTCCCAGTGCTATCTTCTATAAACTTAACTCTGTATACCTTCTAGTGTGTAAATATAGTTCTTGGTGTTGATGTTGTAGAGAGAAATAAAGCATGTTTAGAAGAGATTTTTCAAGTTTCATCTTTAGTAAACAAGTCTGAAAATGAAGGACTTCAGTTTCTCTATAAATTGTATTTTTTGTGTAAAATAGCAAGTAATATTTGGAAAAATATTATAAGATGCTTCCTGGTTTAAATTTGGTAGTTTCCTCATTATTTACTTTTTGTAAATATTGCAAAAGTTTTGTGTTTTCTTGATAAAGAGCCCTTAATTATAAGATTAAGTGAACAGGGTACAAGTATATAAAGTAAAAGTTCTTGGCTTTCTGAAATACTATTTTACTTACTGTCCAGGGTGCCGTTAGATTTGGTTTGTGTTATTCCAGAAGTTTCAAACATACACATACATACTGTTTTGGTTGGGTTTTTTTGTTTTTTTTTTTGGTAGTAGGAATTGAACTCAGGACCTCGTGCTTGCCAGGCAGGTGCTGTGCCACTGAGCTATATCCCCTACCCTATATACTGTAGTTTTAAACAAGTCACTCATACTATTATTTTTTTGTTTGCATGTGCAGATTTTATCTCATTGTTTTATGTGTTCATATGAATCTATTCATGTGTTTTATCAGGCTTATATTAGTGGGCATAGAGAGTTCTTCCTGTTTACTAGTAGTGCTGCAGTTTATAACCTTAACACATATTTTTGTACTCGTGAATGTGTCTGTAGGATAAGATTTCTTAGGGCAAGAGACTACACTTTTAACAACTTGAAGAAACTGCCAGGTTACTCTCCCTCATCAGTTTAGACTGAAAGTTGGAGAGGTCCTGATTTCTGTATCCTTACTAACTGGGATTATTAGTCCTTTGCATTGTTGCCAGCCAGATTGGTCCCAGTCTGATTTGTGAAAGCTTCTTATTATTTTTAATTTGTATTTCTTGTATAGAACTTTGAAAACATTATCATATTGTATTGACCATCTGTGGTTTTATCTGTAGATGGTGTTAAGTTCTTTTTATTTTTTTTGTTAGGGCTATCTTTAGGTTTATTTTTAGGCATTGTATTTTAGGTGTGTTAATTCACCCAAAGCAAAGAGGTCGGAAATTGTTAGTTTGAAATAGATTATCCAAATCATGTCTTCTAACATTGTCTGTGGAATTCTGTGTACCCTTTTCCCCTTAGTCCTGGAGATTAAACTCAAGGCCCCAACTGTGCTGGGCAAGTGCTCTCCCGCAGAGCTATATCCCAGGCCCTTTTTAAAAAATTTTTAAATTTTTGAGACAAAGTCTGAAGTTGCCAGCTTGCCCTTGAACTTGCTGTCCTCCTACCTTAGCCTCTTTGGGTTTTTTTTGTTTGTTTGTTTTTACAGAATTTTAATTTTGTTTTGAGGTCTGTAGTTTGTGCCAAACTTGAACTCACTGTGTAGACCTGCTCGTCTCAAGTTGGTGAATCTCCTACCTCACCTTTCATGTGGTAGGAGAAATCACTTGATAGCATCTCAAATTCATCAGGAATGGTTTTTTGGGAAGTTCTTATGCTTACATTAGCAAATGAAAGGTTTCTAACATTACTTTTTTTTTTTCTGAAAACTCAGATTTTAAATAACAGGCTTATTACTATGTTCACCCCCCCAAAAAAAAACATGTTTTATCAGATTTTTTTTCAAGTAAAAAAGATCTTCCATGAAAAAGTCACAAGCTCACCTAAAAAATTTAAAGTTGTCTAAAAACTGTATTTTATTAAGCATTAATAGAAGTGTTCCTCTAAGTTTTCACATGTAAAATACGAAAAAATCATGTAAATAGATTGAAATTTCATGAGAATGTAGTTGTTAGTGCTTCATCAAGGACATTCTTAAATGAAACTGGGATTGTTACTTTGAAGTAATGACATAAAACACTCAAAGTCATAGGTATGGGAGTTTCTTAAATAGAACGCAGTTGGCTTGAAAAACAACAGCCAGAATCAACAAATGGGAATACATCAAATTAAAAAGATGCTACACAGCAAAAGAGTCAGTGAATAGAATGAAAAGACACGTACAAAATGGGAAAAAATTTTTGCTAGTTACCTCAGAGGACTAATACCTATAAGAACTCAAAAAAATTAGACCACTTAAAATAAAAGATGCAGTCAAGAAATGGGGCAAGTAAAATGAGCAGACATTTCTCAGAAGAAGAAATACAAATGGCCAACAAATACATGAAGAAATGTGCAATATCCTTGGCCATTAGAGAAATGCAAATTAACACTAAGATTCTATCTTACACTTAAAAGAATGATGATCACTAAAGAAATGAGAATATTGCAAATGCTGGCACGGTTGCAGTAAAAAAGGAACCCTCCTACACTGTTCATGAGAATGTAGACTAGTACAGCCATTACTGAAATTCCTCAAAGAACTAAAATTAGAAATTCCATATGACCCAGCTAGCTGCTGTCTAGTTATCTTTCCCAAAGAGCTAAAAATAGAGCAATTATTCATAGCAGCACAATTAATAATTAAATCCTGGAAGCAGTCTATATACTCATCAACAGACAATTGGGTAAAGTGTGTGTGTGTGTGTGTGTGTGTGTATAGAGTACTACTCAGCTATAAAGGACAAATTTGAGATGTATAGGAAAATGGATGCACCTAGAAAAATGAAATAAACCAGACACAGAAACGTAAATACTGTACAGTATCTCACTTGAGTGAGGCAGAGTGCAAAGAGCACAGTAAAGGATGGATAGGAGGTGACAAGGGGATGGATCTCTTGTAGATGGGAAGGGATCTGAAAGAACATGAGTGAGAGGAGATGGGTGAGGGGAAGGGGAAATAAGTAGACTAAAGATATGCCATGTAGAGAAACCTAATAACCTCAGTGAATATATAAACATTATATATCATAAACGTGAGATAAAAACTGGGTGCAGTGACACATGCCTGTAATCCCAGCACTCGGGAGGCTGAGGCAGGAGGATCTTTGTGAGTTCAAGACCATCCTGGGCTACAAAGTGAGCTCAAGGCCAGCCCGAACTGTCGAGACCCTGTCTCAAATAGGGTCTCAAAAACACCATAAGATAAGATTAACAATATCAACAAAAACAGAGTGAGGAAAGGGAATTTGGAGAAAGTAGGGAGGTGGGAAGAGGATTTTTGTAATAACTAAGCTGTGATATGTACGTGTACCCATTCCCCAAGATGATTCTAACTGCATGTACTGCAAACATTTACTAATGAGATTTTTTTAAAAAGATACAAAGGATACACTGACTACTAGTACAGTTCAGTAAGGCTTCACCAGATTTACTCAGCATTGTTTTTGTACCACTAATGTAAAACACTAAAATAGTGTCTTAGCTTTATATGGGGGGAAAAAAATAGGTACCCTTTTTTGGTTTTTGGTTTTTGGTTTTCTTTTGGAGACAAGGTATTATGTAGTCCAGGCTGACCTTGAGCTCTCAGTTTCCTGCTTCAGCCTCTCCAAGTGCTGGATATACAGGTGTGCCATAACTCCAGGCCTCTGAGTACAGTTTTCTTTAAAAAGAAAAAAAAAAGCTAAGTATTTTTTTTCTGCCTAATTTTTTTTTTTTCCTTGCAAGTGAGTTAACAAATGCAAACATTATTCAAGTACATGTTGAAATGCATCTCATCTTTACGTCTAACTGGGATTTACAGGCATTAATCATGGAATTATGGAGTATGTGTCCAATTTGGGAAGCTTTTCAGACAATTTTACTGATGAGAAAATGGAATTTCCCTTTGACTTACCTTTTGGTGCATTGGTCCCTTCAGTTGGTTTCAGGAACTCAGGATACACAAGTCCCTTATGTAAAACAGTGTGTTACTTGCGTATAACCTTTGCATGTCCTCTTGTATACTTAACCCATCTATAGATTATTAGTAATATGTAGAGTTGTTTGTTTTGTTTTGATTTTGTGTTTTTGTCTTGTTTTTCGGGGAAGGGGTTGCTTCTTTGCGCCAGGGTCTCACTACGTAGGAGAGACTGGCCTTGAACTCACTATGTAGTCCAGGTTGGCTTTGAACTTGCGGTGATCCTCATGCCTCAGCCTCCCAAGTACTGGGTTTGTAGTTGTGTGCTACCATGTTGTCTTGTTTTTCTGAATGTTTTCCACCTTTGGTTGAATCAGGATGTATAACTTGGAGATACGAAACCCCCAAGGGCTACGTGTATTTTACTTCAAAAAAATTTTTTTTTTTAAGACAGGACCTTGGTGTGTAGTTCAGGTTGGCCTGAACTCACTGTGTAGCCTAGTACCCCAGGATGGCCTTGAACTCACAGTGGTCCTCCTGCCTCAGACTCCCAAGTGCTTGGGTTGCAGGCATCTGCCACCATGCCCAGTTACATAAAAAATATAAGGCGAATCATGTTGGGCTGATACCATTTATTGTCAAGGTTTTAGAGCAATTAATATATGTATCAGGTACTATATAAGCTATTATATATAAAGAATAGAACTCCTAATCGAGTATATACCGATGTATAGAAACTGGTATACATTATTTCAGAACATATGTTTGTAGCATTATTTAACCGTTTGTAGCATTATTTTCCCAGTTGTGTATTTGAATGAATAGAGTCACACCTAGTAGTTTTGTCTGTTTGTAGCAATAAATCCATCTCTTTTTTTTTTTGGCTAATGGCTAATTTCCTCTTGAAATTCAGTCTTGTCTTTCGTACTTGTACTCTTTTTTTTTTAAAAAAATTTTCTTAAATAACTGCTTGCTTAACTTTGTTGTAGTATAACACTGTAATTGTTTCTGCTACATTTCTGTGCAATCTCCTAAGTGATTCGATTCAGGGTCTCTTAAGTGTAGCAGGGAATCTTTTATAGAGTAGATATTAAATGTTGTTCCGTTTTTAAAGTTTTGTTTTGTTCTATATTGTGCAGGGGATTGAACCCAGGGGCTCTCACACATCCACTGAGCCTACCTATCCAGCTTACTTGCATTTTTTAAATGAAAGAAATAGGGAAAACTTACTTGTCTCTGTAGTAAGAACTACCATTTTAGGGTATGGTGACACATTCAGAGGCTGAGGCAGGAGTATTGCTGCAAGTTTGACGCCAGCCTGAACTGCATAGTGAAACCCTATCTCAAAAGCACAAAAAAAGAACTACCACTTTTAAGTTTTTATTCTAAATGTTTGCAAAAAAATACATATACATAAAATTTGCCTAGTTAGCTTTTTTTTTTCTTTTTTTTTTTTTTGGTTTTTCTCCGGTACCGGGAACCGAACTCATGACCTTGCGCTTGCCAGGCAGGCGCTTTGCCGCTGAGCTAAATCCCCAGCCCCTCTAGTTAGCATTTTTAAAGCTACAACTTAGTAATGTTCACTGTACATCCAATCTCCAGAACTGTCTTCATTTAATAAGATTAATGCTTATCTAATTCATTAAACAACAACTTCTATTACCTCCTTTCCTCACCCCCTGGCAGCCACCATTCTCTTGTCTGTGTGAATGTACTTAACTACTTCCTATAAGTGGAATTTTAAAGTGTTTTTCTTTGAGTGACTGATTTCATCCATCTTGTCTCAAGAGTGTTCTTCCTCTTCAAGGCTGGTTGATATTCCATTGTGTATCAGTACTATGTTTTGTATCTATTGATTTTGATCTATTGACTTGGATTGTGTTTTTTTTTTTTACTGTTATGAGTAATAATTCTGCTGTGAACATCGGTGAGCACAACTACTGTTTTTTTTTAATGCTGACTTTTTCCTTATAGATGGGCGCTCTGGTTTTTTAAAAATGATAAAAGTAAAACGTGGCAAGCAAACCTTCGACTGATCTCTAAGTTTGATACTGTTGAAGACTTTTGGGCGTAAGTAACTGTTTACTTTAGGATATGTATTTGTGGTTTTTTTAGTTGCATAGTTTTTCAGTTTTAAGTCAGATTCACAAAATGAATGGCTAGGTGAAGTTAATGAATATTCCATCTGTAGAACTGTCTTATGTCCATCTCACAGATGTTTGGGTTGGTGTTATGCCTCATTGGTTTTATATTTTTATTTTTTTTATTTTAAAGAGAATAAAAAATAATGTAAAGAAAACATTAGAAAAGATACAGAATTTCAAAAAAACAAGGTAGGAATTTAACACTGGTTTATTGCATATTGTTGTCTTCGAAGTAGTTGTTCAGATCACCAGATACAAGCATGTAAAACTGGTCAAAATTTTTTTTTAAACATTAACTATTCCTTTCAACAAACCAATAGAAATTAGTACAATTATCTTTGCTATCTTGTGCGTGTGCACGCTCGTGTGTGTGTGTGTGTGTGTGTGTGTGTGTGTGTGTGTGTGTGTGTATTACCCCGCTTCTTTCTTTCCTTTCTCCTTTCCCTCATTCCCTCATCCCAGTTCTTTGGTTTTAGAAACTTGAATCTGGTCATCCTTTTGGGACTGAATATTCTGTAGTCCTTGTCCTAAGATACCTGTTCTTCCATTGAGAATACTTTATTGCCCCTAGCACTTGTGGACAGCTGGTTGAAACTTGATCCCTTTTGTGGCTGCCTAGACACATTTGCCTCAAAAGTAGGTATTTTAGAACACTAGTGGGGTCACCGTTTTTATAAACTCTTTTCAGTGCAATATCTGAAATTTCCTGTGGTAGGGATTTTGAAATTTCAAAGACTTACATCAAAATTCAGGGAATATTAAGATGTATATACTTTGATAATAGTTGTTAATTTCATTATACTTTGTCATAAACTTCAAGAAAAATGGCAATTTTTTGAGGTGTTGTTTCCAGTTTAGCTGAAAATTGATTTAGAATCAGAAACATTTCCATGATTTGAAAATACAATTTAAAGTCAGAGTCTTTATTAAGAAGTTTTCATACTGATCTCTAAAAAGGATTTTCCAAAACCCCTTGTCCTTGGGATTGGCCTGGCATGTGCTAGGCAAATGCTGTACCACTGAACTACTCAGTTCCTACAAAGTCAACTTAGTGTGTTTTTACATGGAGATTATATATAGGGAGATACCGTTTTGAGAACATGAAAGGCAAAACTTAAAACACATTTTTAAGCACTTTGAATTACCTAACCTAAAACTTACAACTTTTACATCTGTATTTTAGAATCATATACATGATGATTTAGTGATACTACTCTTGTGTTTTAATGTAATTCCCTGAGTGTATTGTGTCCACATATCCAAAGCATGGATTGTCATAAAATTTATGCATACTTTCTCAAGGGCAGAAAACAATATTGTGTATATTTTCAGTGTTTAGTTGGTAACATTCAGTGTACATTTGCATCCCTGAAAAAGACAAACCATATAATCACTAGGGGGATGGTCTTTTTCAGACCAAATTCGCTGTGCAGTTCAGGTCGGCCTTGAACTCACTTTGTAGCCCAGGCTGGCTTCAAACACACAGCGATCCTCCTGTCTCAGCCTCCCAAGTACTACCACACATAGCTGAGAATGAACATTTTTTTATTAAAATCATTCTTTTTTAAAATAATAGAATTACTTTGAATAAACAGATCTAGTTGTATAGTTAAACTGAGATTATTTTGCTTTGCCTTCAAAACATCAAGTGGTTTTTCTTCCATTGCTCTTGGTCAAAATTTGAATAACTAGTCTCCTTCACAAAAAAATTGTACTCCAAGCTCCTATAGAAGGAAAAGAAATCTTGACTCCCCTGTCTTCCAGTTAGATTTCTGTGTGTAGTTTTTTTTTGGCTTTTACCAGTTTACATAATTACATTTTAATTTGTCCTCTAATTACAACATTGCCCCACACTTTAGTTATGTGTAAACAATGTCATTGCATAGTGGATTTTTACAGCATAATTTAGAGATTTGAAGGAATCCTTCAGTTTTCTATAAATATCTTAAGTTAGTTTCTTTTTTTCTAACAAATTTAATGTAAACAATCATTGAAACTTTTTGTTTTTAACCAACCTTTGTATTCTTAGGATTCATCTGTTTAATGTACCATTATGAATTCTCATTATTTAAAGATGCTTAAGAGCACCATGAAGGACGAAAGAGTCAGCAAAAAGGAATCTTCTATCTTGAATGCCACTGAAGAAAGTCACTCTCACACTATTCATTTAAATTAATTTTCACCATGAAAGTGATGGTGTTAATGCTGTAATTATTACTGTTAGTGTTTAGGACCTTTTTGATAGTCTCGGGCTAGTTTATCTATAGTAGGTTATATTAGGTGTTTTTTCTGTCCAGTGTGATGAAAGAATGCCAGATGCATCCTTAAAACTTCGTGTGAAATATTCCCAGGTTGGGTTAAAATTAGCACTAAGAGAACCTGACTAAAGATAATTGAATCATCAGTGGTTTATAGGCATATAGTGGAGTTATTTTCTACCATCTACTATTGGAGACAAATAAAGTGTTGTTATCCTATTGCCAATTTTTAAAACAAGTTTTAAAAGACTTAAGAGACTACAGGAGATCAAATGACCTACTTACTTCTACCTTTAGACAAATGAGCAAATAATCTAAAATGTTACTTTATTTTGATATTTGGGAAAGTTGTTTTTTTTTAACTTTTATTAGTACATGTTTGCAGTACATGAAGTTTATATTCACCTTTGGGAGTAGGCACAAGTACAAAACGTTGAGTCTTTTTTAATCTTCTTATCCACCTCCTTCCATCTATAGATCCCCTTTCCCTGTTTTCATTATTATTATTTTCAGTTCATGTCTGTGACAGACAATGTTTACATTCATTGTGGGTATTTGGTACCCCACCTGCCCCAAACCTGGGTTTTCTGGATGTCATTCCCATCTACAAAAGATCTAGCTTCCTGTTTCCTTCTCAGTCCTTTATTGTGGTCTTTATTTAAACTTTGTTTCACTCAAATGAGAGATACCGTGCGGTATTTGAGCTTATACATCTGATTTATTGCACTTACCACATTTTCCAAGTGTATCCATTTTCCTGTAAATGTCTCAAATTTATCCTTCATCTGTTCATCTGTTGATGGATATATAGGTTGCTTCCAGGACTTAGCTGTTACAAATTGTGCTGCTATAAACATTGGTGTGCATGTATCACTGTTAAAGGATGTCTGTCAATGTAGTATGATGGAAAATAGTTTAGAAATATAGATTCCATCCTACATGTAAGTGATTACAATCCTGAGGGGGAGAGCTTAGACCAGTTTTTTCTTGTTTGTAAACTCCCTGCAATAATTATTTTGCTGACTAATGAGTAACACTTTGTAGTTAGGGAACCACTAGTCTTTTCTATACTTGGATACCTCCAAAGATAAGGTTGACTGGGTCGTGCAATCCCAGTAGTCATGTGGTTTAGAATATTTATTAACAAACACTTGTTTATTAGCTTCATAAATTTATTTATCTAAACAACATTACCTTTATTTTCAGTTTCCTACATACACATATTTATGCATTGAGTTAACATTGTATCAAAATCTTTTTGTCAGAATAAAATAAAGTGGTACTGAAAATTATTTTATAGGTTGTATTTTGAACATAATATCTATTTTGTTTGTTTCAGAAATTAACTCTATAGCAAAACAAATATGCATGAACTTTTATCTAGTTTTAAAATTTTCTACAGCACCTAACATTACATATTTTTAATTGTCCTTCTTAATGTTCTGGAGCACCTGAGTTACATATTTTTAATTGTCCTTTCCTTTCACCTAGTTTATACAACCATATCCAGTTGTCTAGTAATTTAATGCCTGGCTGTGACTACTCACTTTTTAAGGTATGCCTTACTGGTATCTTCATGTATTTATTATAGGACTGAATCATTCAAATATTCATTAAGAAAGGTTACAGTAAACATAGGTATAGTTTATACTCTTACGTACAGGCTAATAAATTGGCTTTATTAGGTGTTAGCACTGATGTATTGGTCGAAATTGTAGAAATTGAGAGAGTATTATTCTGTATACATAATGAGATTGATTTTGGGAAGAGCTTTGATTATGCAGTTCAATTCCTCCTTTATATTTTTGAGTAACCTGAGTTTGTCAGGCATTCTTAATCATGGCTACAGGGATCCTTAAGATATTTATAAATGACCATTGCAGGTAGCAGAGCTACATGCTTTAGTTAATTCTCAAATTACATAATTTTTGCATGTATTTTTAGGAATCTTAAGTGTATATAGCTTCTGAAAGATATCTACTGCTTAGAAAGTGTTAGAACCTCCAAATTAACTAAAAGACAAGATTTTATGGCTAATAAGTGACAAATCAGTACTCTGATTGTGGAATCTTACCCGCTGTGCTTTAAAAAGTGTACTGCGATAGTTTAGAAATAAAATGTAAAAGTTAACTGTGTTGTTGTTGCTTGAATCAAGCTTGCTGATTCTAATTATCTCAAAGTGAGGGTTGTAATACTGTCTAATGTTGTATTTTTACTTTGTAGGATGGTATTGAGCCCATGTGGGAAGATGAAAAAAACAAACGGGGAGGACGATGGCTAATCACACTGAACAAACAGCAGAGGCGAAGTGACCTGGATCGCTTTTGGCTAGAAACAGTAAGCCTTTCAAATTACAGAGCAGTTCTAGAATTTTGATACATAAGTTACATTTTACTCTGATTTACTTAATGAGGAGGTAAGGATGCCTATACTAGAAAGCCTGAGTCAGCAATTTTTGTGCAGTTGTGTGAATCGTGTACTTTATATGCTGCTACTGTGAAACATTTCACCATATTATAACTCACAAGTAATTGGTATTTAACCCCCATCTTCCATAGTATGCTCACCCAATCATTTCATCAACCTCAGAATTACAGAATTTTACATTTTATATTACTTAATGTTTTGCATCCCAGTTATACAGCATTGGTATATGTGTACTATATTTTTTCCGCACAGTGAGGCAAACAGTGAAATTGTTACTTAACCCATTTACAAGTTGTAATGTAGAAAAATTTTGGTTTTGAAAGATACATTAAATATAAACTAATAGGTATTATTATAGTCATTGGTTCAAATCCCAAGCTATTAAGAATAGGATTTCTACTATGTTCCTAGCACTTGTCTCAGTGGCTTGCTTAATTGCTTACTTCGTTATATATTTATTTTATATACATATATATATTTTTGCTGCAATTTAACCCTGAGCTTCAGTCATGCTAGGGAAGCACTCTGCCACTGAGTTGCATCCGCAGCCCTTTTTATTTGGAGACATTCTTGCTGAGCTGCCTAGGCTGTCTTCCAATTCACAATCCTCTTGCCTTAGCCGCAGAGGAGCTAGGTTTATACCACCACAGCCAGCTTTAAAGTACTTACTATTGGGAACTTATTTTAATGAGTGGTTTTTTGTTTTTAAAGAGGAAATGTGTGTTAGTCACTTTCTTGTCACTGAGAACATAACACAACACCTACAACTTAAAGGAGGAGAGGTTTATCTTGGCTCATAGTTCAGTCCATGGTCATTTGGCTCCAAAAGAAGAAACAGCTTGAATGAAAACCTGCTCATGTCCTGTTGCCAGGAAGCAGAGGGAAGGGAGAAGCTGGGAAAAGAGATAAACCTGGCTCTTCCCACAGGACCCCACCTAGTAACAGCAAGCCAGCTGTAACTCCATAATCCAGTCACCTTAGAAATTCATGAGGATTGGGGGCCATTGTGGATCTAAGCCATAATGAAATTTAACATTAAAAAGTTGCGACATTTCTGGAGATGGTTGTACAGCAAGGGTAAATGTATTTAATGCCTCTGAACTATATACTTAATGGTTAAAATGGTAGGTTTTATGTATATTTTACCAGTTTTAAAAAGCAGCAAATTTTCTTGCAAAACAAGAACATGGCAATTAGGCTAACCTTGGAGAGCTGTTTCAGTTATTTCATCAATATTTGTGTACCAACTGTAAACAGCAGCAGAGTAAATGAGTAATAATTGAAAATAGTAATTCCACTCCTATATGTGGGCCTCAATTCCCCTTTTTTGCTAAAAAAGTTAAAAGTCAAGGCAAAGCTAGATGTGGTACTACATGCCTGCAATCCCAGGCTGATGGAGGAGGATTTCTGTGAGTTCAAGACCAGCCTGAACTGCATAGCAAGACCTTGTCTATAGAGAAATGAATGAATGAACGAATGAATGAATCCATGCATGCCAAAGCAAAGAACTATATATGTAATTAAATGTAGACATTAAGTCAACTCAAGATTTAAAAGCTAATTTTAGTTTTATGTGTATGACTTAATTTTCTCCTTGCTGGGGCACAATACCTAATATTGCTAACTTAAAGGAGGAGAGTTATATTTTGGCTCATGGTTTAGAAATTTCAATTCTTACATAGTTGTAGGCTCAAGGAATAGAGGGTATGGCAGACCTGAAGCAGCAGAGTAAAGGGAGGAGCCAGGGAGGTGTCTCTTCCAGGCTGAACTCCTAGTGACTCATCTCTTAGTACTAGACTTATAGCAAATGAACTGTAAGGCCCCATAATCTACAAGCAGTGCGTTTGAATTCATGAAGCTTTTGAAGCCTTGTAGATAGAAACCTTAACTATACACAATGAGACATTTGCCATCTAGTAAGTGGTTTATAATTTATCCAGTATAATGTGGAGGGTTTCTTTCTTTTTTGGAAGCTGCTGTGCCTTATTGGAGAGTCATTCGATGACTACAGTGACGATGTGTGTGGAGCTGTTGTTAACGTCAGAGCCAAGGGCGACAAGATAGCGATATGGACTACCGAGTGTGAAAACAGAGAGGCTGTTCAGCACATAGGGTAGGTGTCTGGCCTGCGCTGACTTGTTTGTAGCTATGCTAAGGTAGCTGAGACCAGAAGTTTCCCTCACTTACAGCTTAGAAGTACTTTGACTTACAAATCATGGCTTTCAAGAACAGTTTTACAATTGTGAACTCTTCTGGTGGTGCTCATTGTCTTAATAGTGTTTTGATTTCTGTGAAGTTGGTATTTCTTACCACTGGAGTACACAAGCAGTAGAGCACCCTACCTTGGCATATTTAGCGTTTCACTCATTTATTAAATGAGTGTGTAAGTATTTTTCCTAACTTTGAGTATTGGCACACGGTGCAATATGTGTATAGTCAGCATTTATGTATACTATGTACAATTTTCATTGGCATTTCATCTATCTTGTTTTTATTCCCACATTTAGAATCCACACATGTAGGTTTTTAAATATTTGTTTTGGTGAATTTTATTATTTGAAAAAAATGGGCTGTCATTTTTTTTCCCAACCTCAGTGTTAGCTCTGTTTTTCTTTTTATTTATTGCATTTAATTAGTAAATTTCAGCATTAATTTTATATGTCAGTTACAGCTCACAGAATATTTGGTTTTGACCTGTTGGGTGATATTTCAAACTTTGTGAATTGTCCTGTGAAATTCCTTTCCAGATGAAAAAGTACAAGGATTTCCCAGATTTCATTCTGTATGGGATTTCTATAAAATGTCATTGATTAGTCATTATATTCATAATCCCCCCCCCACACCAGGAATCAAACTCATGACCTCATGCTTGTGAGGCAGGCGCTGTGCCACTGAGCTAAATCCTCAGCCCCTCATATTCATAATCTTTTGTCAGCATTTGTGTTAGTATTACATGTTTTTGAAATCTCTGTAAAAACATTTTGACAGTTTTTTCAAAGAAAGGGTTTTTTAACCTTTCTAATTTACATGTGTCAGTGCATTTACTTTTTGACAATTTTAATGCCGTAGTATCCTACTATAAATATGATAGTAATCACTTTAATTATTATTAAAATTATTTTTAGATAATACTCCTATTTGGAGGAAGTTAGTAAACTGTCTTCTGAAGAGTAGAGTATGAAAAAGCTATTGTACTATGAATTAGCTCCATGAAGATGAGTATTTGGTTTTTTGCTTAGTTTTAAGTTTTTGCTTTTTTTCTCCTTCAGCGCAAAGATTCAGGTTACTAAGGTGACATGAAGCTCTATGTGACCTTTCCCTAAGACTTTGTCAGCCTTATCTTACATTTACTTAGGATCGTGGCCACAGTCTTGTTTCTGTTTCTCAGCTTTCAGACGCGTTTCATTCTCTTAACATTAGGATTTTCACTTCGCTTTCAAAGGAGAGCTTTCTCTAATATTGTAGATGAGATTAGATCTTCCAGTTCATGCAGTATCACAGCTCTTACACCTACTGCTATTTGACACGTACCAAGTTTTTTACAGCTTAGAAGTAGACATACCTTTTATGAAAATTGAGCTGTAGACTTCTAGTGTGCAAGGTAGAAGTTATGTATAAGGTAGAAATTATGCATGTTCTAAATGATCCTGAAAATATTGTGAACATTCCTTCAAAATACTCAGTTTTCATGTGTGCAATCTTGTCGGTATTGGTAATGATAAGTGTAATTGGTAAAGTGTAGTATTTTTACATTATGTAAAATATAATTGTAACATTTTAGATCAAAAAGTGAAAGTGGATGTGTGCAAAATCGTTTTAAGTTATATGTGATATAGCTTCTTCATATGTATTAATTATTATTTGACTGTGTTTTCCCTATTGTATTATACATGCTGTGAGCTGAGGGACTGCCTCTGCCTTGCCCACTATTGATTTAATAATAATTAGCATAGTACTTGACACATATCTGATTAGATCTGAGATATTTGTTACATGATTAAGTTGTGAAAATAAAGAGTAAGTTATGCTGAAAGGAAGAGGGTGTGTAATTTTCTAATTTACTTTCAAGTATTTTTTATATAAAGGCTAATAATGGTGAGTTTTTAAAATTACTTTCTGTTAGATAAAAATTAATGTCCACTTCTTTGTCTTCTAGGAGAGTATACAAGGAAAGGTTAGGACTTCCTCCAAAGATAGTGATTGGTTATCAGTCCCATGCTGACACAGCTACTAAGAGCGGCTCCACCACTAAAAATAGGTTTGTTGTTTAAGAAGACACCTTCTGAGTATTCTCATAGGAGACTGCGTCAAGCAATCGAGATTTGGGAGCTGAACCAAAGCCTCTTCAAAAGCAGAGTGGACTGCATTTAAATTTGATTCCATCTAAATGTTGCTAAGATATAAGAGAAGTCTCATTCGCCTTTGTCTTGTACTTCTGTGGTTTTTTTTTTTTTTGTTTCATTTTGTTTTTTTGCTAGAGTATCCACTATCCCAATCAAAGTATTACAGTACACATCATCCCCAGAAACCATAAATGTGTTCCTGGTTTGCTCTGTAATAGCTTAGTAGAATTACCATGACAAACACATTTTTACCCATTCACAGTACTCAAAAAAGAGCTTGTATTTCTCGAACAGGAAAAAAATTGTTATGTTCCGTTGTATGGAGGAGCATATTTTGCTGGTTTGAAAGAGTATGATGCAGACAGTTTTCTAGAAATTTTCTTTGTTTCTTTTTACAGCATTATCTTTGCTGTACTCTTGCTGGTGGCTGCTAGATTTTAATTTATTTGTTTCCCTACTGGATAACATTAGTGATTCTGATTTCAGGTTTTCATTTGCTTTGCTTTTGTTTTTTTCTCATGTAATATTGGTAAAGGATCCAGGAATATGACACAAAGGTGGAATAAACATTAATTTTGTGCATTCTTTGGTAATTTTTTTTATAACTACAAAGCTTTGCTACAAATTTATGCATTTCATTCAAATCAGTGATCTATGTTTGTGTGATTTCCTAAACACAATTGTGGATTATAAAAAAATGTAACATCATAATTACATTCCTAACTAGAAGTAGTATGTCTGTTTTTGTATCTTTATGCTGTATTTTAATACTTTGTATTACTTAGGTTATTTTGCTTTGGTTAAAAATGGCTCAAGTAGAAAAGCGGTCCCATTCATATTAAGACAGTGTACAAAACTGTAAATAAAATGTGTACAGTGAATTGTCTTTTAGACATCTAGATTTGTCCTCTTATTTTTCCATCTCTGTAGAAGGAATTTGTACTTTTTATTGCAAGGCAGTCTCTTGTGTCTTCTCTTGTAGTGTCTTCCACATGAACAGCATATATTTGGAGCACTAGTTTATTATGTTTACTACAATTTTTAATAAATTGAATAGGTAGTATATGTATGGAATTAAACTGATGGCTATCTTTGTTTTTAATAAAGTAAGGCATAGCTCTTCAGTATTAGGTAAATAAATGTACTTCCAGTGTGTTAAAAATTTATTTAATTTTTGGGATTTTGAGAATTGGGATTTTGGTGCATCACCATGTGACTGACATAACGGATTATAAAACTTGGTTGCTGAGTTGAGATGTTCTTATGTAAGTGTCAGAAGGATAGGACAGGGAAAAACAGGTCGGCATAAGCATTAAGACTTGAATTAGTGTTGAACAGGATGAAATAAAAAAACTTAAGGCATTTATATTGGTTGTATCGTTTTCTGTAAACTTGATACACTCTTTGTAGAATATCATTTGAAAACAAACTTGAAAATATTTTGTCTAATACATAATTGTATAGTTCAGATCCTGTGAAATGTGCTCTGGCTATCATAGAATAAAGGGTAAGTTGAACTGTAGATAGCAAAATAAAAATCATTATTTGAGAGAAAAATTTAAGGGGCAGTTATGAGTTGATCATATTCAAACTAATAATTTTGAAAACGATCCTTATCCAGTAAACATGAAATTAATAGTTTGGTTTCGTTATAGAAATTTAAAATAGTGGTTAAAGAATACTACAGATTATGGTCTGGGTATTGTCAGTGTCACAGAAAGCTCTTGTTCAATATTCTAGAAATACAGAATCTTGTCTTCATTACAATCTCAACACCTGTAACTAATGTTTCTTCTAAGTTTGGATGGTTGTGTCAGCTGATTCATTGTTATGTGCAGTTGTGAGCATTTCAATAGCTTGCTGAAAGTGATAGTGATCTTTTGGCAAATGAATGGAAATGGATTCTATTAGAAATTAATATTCTCATTTTCTTAATCCTAAAATGCAGTTTAGAGTCACAGTATTATTGTAAATCCCTTTCCCAGGATGAAGGGAGTTGATAAATTATTTTGAATCACTTTTGGTAGTTGCCCTTGTAGGCATCACAGCAACTTGCAATGTAGCATAACCTTACTCCATTATTCTCTCCTCTTTGTTCATGGGGGTTTAGCTCAGTGGCACAGCGCCTGCCTGGCAAGTGTGAGGTCGTGAGTTCGATATTACATGTTTTCAGAATAGAAATTGAAATCTTTAATAGATGAATAGTAATTCATTTAGGGTGTGACATTTAATGTAAATTGTACTGGTTCTACAGAAAGGTGTGATGCAGTATAAGAATTTTAATAATGCAACACTTATTGTACTAATTTTTGTGCTAGGCAGTGTTCCAGTCATTTTACATGTATATTAACCTGCATAATAATCCTTTGATATGTAGATGATATTACCTCCACTGCACAAATGAAAAGATAAGCGTTAAATATTTAAGTATCTTAATTGCTTATGTCAAGTGTAAAGTGTGAATTTGAATTGTGGAAATTTGATTCCACAGATCCTGAATCACAGAGTACTCTCAATAAGACTCAGTCTAAGGGGCTGGGGGTTTAGCTCAGTGGCACAGCGCCTGCCTGGCAAGTGTGAGGTCGTGAGTTCGATTCCCAGTACCGGGGAAAAACAAAACAAAAAAATCAGTCTAATAGGCTGTATATATGTAGTCGATTACATGAGATTGTGGTCAGTTTATAGGCCAGACAAACATTTCTCTACTTTGATAATAAAACCAATTAATTACTCTTAGCAACTACCTAAAGTAGTCAGTTGGAGTAGTTTTGAGAACATTAGAGGCAAAGTATAGGAAGTAACAGGAATATGTAAGTATTTTTATATGCAATTTTAGATGTTTCCTAACTTCTAAGGTAAATGGCAAAGCGAAATGTTTAAGTTGATAGAAGTTGAGATTCTTAAATGCTGATGTTGCATTAAAAATGATAAATTTAGTAAGGCATCGTGACAGTGCAATGTTTTACATTTTAAAATTAAAACAAGTTAATGACAAGGCTGTTACCTTTTATCTCTAATTATTTCTTGTAGACTGTCTTCATTGTTGAATAATGGGGGAAAGAACCAACATTTTCTCAGGTGACATCAAATCCTCTAAACAAATGCAAGAATGTAGGCCAGATTGACATTGAAAAATCTATTCACTATGTCTCAGGAATCTAGTACGTCTGTATTGCTATAATATTAAAGAATGGGTCTTTTTTCTACTTACTTAAAATATACATGTTTTACAAAAGTATGTTTGACATTGCAGGGGTTAAGACTTGTTCTTCATCAGAAAAGGTTTGAGAAATACTACTCCTAGGTTGGTTTCCTGAATAGCATAGGCAAGCTCATTTACCCATTGTTCCCTAAAACAACAGATCCAGTATGTGTATACTCTCATATTCTTGTGATTTCTTTCTTCCTTTGGGAGAAGCAGAAGAGTAAATTGTAGTCATGTGGTCACATGAAATTCAGAAAACCAATTTTTCACATACCAGTTTTGTCCCTTTATTCTCTACTTCAAACCTTGTAGTTGCTTATGGTTTTACACAGAAGTCATTTCCCTGCTGCCTTTAGATAGATAGATAGATAGATAGATAGATAGATAGATGGATAGATAGCACTTTACCATACTCTTGGTGCTGAGCACATAACCAGAACAAAATGAATTGAATACCTGCTACAAATTTTAAAAGTCAGTGTGTCTTTGTAAGTTTCTGTAGATAGCTTTTGTTTGTGAAATAGAACTAGACTAAATGTCCCTGAAAATTACGGAGTCTAGAGAGGTAAGTATAAAATGAGATTAGTTGTGCTGAACATGGAGCCTTAACATTGAGTTTTTAAATGGACTCTAGCATGTGTAAGTTGCGGCTTTCTCAAGACCTGCTCTGTATGACTGATCAAATAAAGGTTTGTGCTTCTTTTTTGTTTATATGATAGCACTTTAAGGCATTTTCCCATTTATTTATTTAGTATATTGCACTGTTTCAATGTAATTGTGTCCACATTAGTGTGGTTTTAAAGGTAGCAACACCTTACTAAAATACTGATCCGGAATTTTTTGTTTAACGTTTGCCAAACATGAGACATGCTTATTTTAATGTTGTTCCCTATGAAGAGTAGAAGGTGGACAGTTGCTATCTCCAAACTTATTTTTCTTTATAGTACCACTCAAATTGCTTCTAAATGTCTAAAAATTTTGTACGTGTATGCTAGATGGACATGTACACACATGTAGCTTTTTCTTCGGGCATGAAAATTGTCTTACTAGCATGTAATAATTTTGGACATTTTTTATTTCTTACCTTCGTGTTCCACTTTATGGATGTATCCTTTATTGGGATAACTTACCTATCCATCCATCTTTTTGGCATTTTTGCCTTTACAGATCCCTGTTTGTGAAGTTGAAGTATAATGAAGACAGCTTGCTTTTCTTGAGCAGTACTTACTCTACCCGTTTGACTCACCATCATGTTTTGTTACTGTGTGCTTACAAAGCAGCTTTGCAAATTTTGCAGTTTTGCTACTTTGATATATTTCTGATTGGTTTTTAATTTATTCTAATGAGCCAACATTATTAGAAGTCAGTCTTGTTAGATTTAACATTTTCTCAAAGACAGTCGGTAAGCTAATATGATTTTCATTGTAGAAGTGTTTTTGTTGAAAATGCTTAAATGAAATAATAGTGGTATTGGACCTAGTTTCATTTTTAACCCTTAGAATGAATTTAACAGTTTACTAGAAGAGCATTTCCCAAATACCTCTTGTCATACTTTCCGTTTGGCATTTGTTTTGTTTTTAAGGGGCTCTTGCCTGCCCTCCCTCCCTGATCTTCAATCTTTGACTCAATTTTGGGTGGTTGTGCATGATATGTGAGAAGTTCTGGTTTGTAGGATATGCCATAGGAAATGGGAGGTATGAGATTTCATGTTTTACATTGTCAGATTTTAGACAAATTGTTAAGCATATTGTATATACCGTTATAGGGCCTGCTCTGTGTTCTTGTGCTGCTTTTCGGATGATAAACATGGGTTAAGTGTTGTAGTGTCCTGCACTTCTCCACACTGAAGAGTTTTGTAATTGTGCCAAAATGATAGTTCACAGAATCATAACATTTCCCATGCCTTTTTCACTGTGTGTGTGCGCGCGTGTGCATGTGTGTAGTGTCCTGCACTTCACACTGAATAGGTTGTAATTGTGCCAAAATGATAGTTCACGGAATCATAACATTTCCCATGCCTTTTTCACTGTGTGTGTGCGCGCGTGTGCGTGCTCTTGTATGATGAGTGATACTGCTATCTACTAGTATGTCTACCATCCTTGGATTGTATCCATCCTGGCATTTGTTCAGGAATTTCCAAATCTCTGTCCTTAAGCATGATCTTCCTGTTGTTAGGTCTCTCTCATTCCCCACTGATTTAGGGGCTACTACAGAGTACAGCCGGTTTCCACATCTGTTGTGTAAATGTTTTATTGATACGTGACTCACCCTGTTCTGTTGTTTTTTTGTGTTTTGGGTTTTTTTTTTTTTTTTTTTGTCTTTTTGAGACAGGATCTTGCTATGCAGTTCAGGTTGGCTTTGAGAAATTTATGAGTTAATCTTTTTTTTTTTTTTTTTGTACTGGGAATCGAACTCAGGACCTTGCACTTGCCAGGCAGGCACTGGTGCTGCTGAGCTGTATCCCTGGCCCTCACCCATTGAAATACATGTGTACAGCTGTTCTTTGCCACAGGGATGGAGCTGGCAGATCTGTGGCACGTTGGCCACACACCCTAAGATGTTTACTATTCAGCTCACTTTTTATACTTACTGTAAATGTTTTGTATTGATTATGCTTTTTGCAAAACATCCAAGGCTGGATGTGTTCCTCAGTGAGAATGCCTAGGTTCAGTCAGCATTTTTAAAACGCCAAATATCCTATTAACTTTCTTTTTTCCCCCATCAAACCGTAGTTGTACTCCCACATAAATACGAAATATATTCATGGGAAACCCAAGGAATTACCTTGCCACATGATTTTATTAATCAGCTAAGTAGGACATCTGTCAAAAGTGCTGATTTTGGGTAGGTAGGTTCTCTAGATTGTAGGGATTTTTTTGTTTCGTTTTTGTCAGGGGAGGATGATAAACATTGGAAGACCTTTGCCTATTTAAGATCACAGTTCAGTAAGCCTATGTTATTTGCAGTAGTGTGAATAGTTCTTTTTATATAGTGGAAGGATCTTATCCAAGTGTGTTAACTTGTTTCAGTTTTTAAAAGGTGGAGGAAATTCATTTCTCAAGAATTGTTATCCACTAAAGGATGTTCCTTATTCAGACTTGTACAAATATTAAAGTATATTCACTAATTAGCCATTCAGACATCTGAGCTTCTGTTACATG